GGAGGGATGCAAACACTCAGACCATAGCACCATCCAAGTCAAGAAGGAGGACAGGTCCCAGCATCCCAAAGCCCCTTTCCACTCCTCCCAACTGCTGCCTCTCCCTTCTCGCTTGTCTTTATATTTCTATGACCTAAGCCTGCACCCACTCCAAAAGGCTATTGTGAACTTTATAGGCGTGGAATCGAACATTTGGCATCTGTTTGTGTCTAGTGGTTTTCACTTAACGTTTACTCAACATTCATCCACAAACATTTTCCCTGTGGTGTGGTATTGACAGAACACAATTTTGTCATTCTACTGTCAGTGGACATGTGGGTTGTTTCTAGTGTTTGTAATTACGAATAGTGCTGCTATGAACATCTGTGTCCATGTTTCTTGGCCCATATATGCATGCTTTTCTGTTGGATAAATAACCGTGCTAGTTTCCTAGGACTACCATAGCCAAATACCACTACCAAGGTGACTTCAAACAATGGAAGCTGATTCTCTCGAAGTTCTGGATGGCGGAGGTCAGAAGTCAGGGTGTCAGGAGGGCTCTGTTCCCTCTGAGACTCTGGGTAGCATCCTTGCTTCTACCTAACTCCTTTCTGTGCCTCCATTTTCCCATGGCATTCTTCTCTTGGATCTTCACATTATCTTATGAGAAAACTAGTCAAATGAGATGAAAGGCTTACTCTACTCTGGTGAGACCCCATCTTAGTTGATTACACCTGCAGCCACTCTGTCCCTAAAGAAGACCACATTCTGTACTGGGGTTTAGGACTTCAACCTTTTTGGGGGACTTTAACCCGTAACAATAACTAAGAGGAATTGTCGAGTTATCTTAGCAGATCCTGAGAAAGGATTGGGTGCAGATCATTTGCGCTGTGGTGGCAGGAAGCGCGGCTGAGGGTAGGGCCGGACTAGGCTCTCCCAAGGTACGAGGTGAGTGGGGGCAAAATTTAGAGGATTCACTCCCAGGGCTGCGCCCTTGTTCTTGACACATCTCATCATCGTCCCAGCTCTGAGGGAGGGAGCAGGCAAAATGTGACAAGGAAGAGAGACATTCCAGTCGAGTTTCCTTCATTATGACTGTGGGTGACTTGGGGTTCAGTCCCACGGGAGGTCCTCTAAGGTGCCTTGCAGAAGGCGTTTCCCATGCCTCCCACTTGTCTCGCAGAAGGATGGGAAAGCTGGGCATAGGCTAACCTGGGGCACTAAGTTGTGAGTCCTTGTGGGCTGGACACACTTCTGCAGCACTGGAGAAAGGTCCCAGGTAGAGAAGCAGAGACGCAGGTGCTCGAGATGGGACACCGTAAGCACACCAGGAGTTGTCCACTGCAAGTTTGAGTGACGTCAGGCTGAAGGGGTACAGTTTAAGGAATTATTGATGTCTGCTACAACCCATCTGCTATACCCCAGACACATGTATTTCAGCTGTTGGGCATTCAACAACAAATTATGCCAGGTACCGTGGCTCATACCTGTAACCTCAGCATTTTGGGAGGCTGAGGCTGGAGGACCACTTGAGGCCAGGAGTTTGACACTAGCCAGGGCAACATAGTGAGACTCCCATCTCTACACAAATATTTTTTAAAAATTAGCTGGGGCCAGGCATGGTGGCTGACACCTGTAATCCCAGTAATCTGGGAGGCTGAGGCAGGCGGGTCACTTGAGGCCAGTCGTTCGAGACCAGACTGGCCAATATGGTGAAACCCCATCTCTACTAAAAATACAAAAAATTAGCTAGGTGTGGTGGCATGCACCTTGTCATCCCAGCTACTTGGGAGGCTGAGGCAAGAGAATCTCTTGAACATGGGAGGTGGAGGCTGCAGTGAGCCAAGATGGCGTAACTGCACTCTGGTCTGGGAGACAGAGCAATACTCAGTCTCAAAAACAAACAAAAATTAGCTGGGTTTGGTGGTGTTTGTCTGTGGTCCCAGCTACTCAGGAGGCTGGGGCAGGAGGATCGTTTGAGCCCAGGAGGTGGAAGCTGCCATGAGCTATAATCACGCCACTGCACTCAAGCCTGGTGACAGAGCAGACCCAGTGTCAAAAACAAAAACCACCAACCAACCAATCATGGTTGACGGTTGAACATTTATACTGTTTCCTAAATGACAGTGCTCCAACACAAAATGCCCTTCCTGAGCTGGTGCCTTAGTTACACTAACCTTTCGGAGGACGGTCCAACCTTCAGCTTTGGAGTAAAAACCAGTGGATCCGATTGTCATGTGTTCTTTGTTACACTTTCTTCACCTCTGAGACATTATTCGTGATTCCGTATAGCAAAGCAAGTGCGTGTTGGGTTTATTTCAGGGATGTCTATCCTGTTCTTTTTAACTATTTGTCAATTCTTGTATCAATACCACATGGCCTTCATGACCTTTATAATAAGCCTTGATTTCTGGTAGAAAAATTTCTCTCTTCTTGTTCTTCTTCATTGGCTATGCCTTACCGGTTGCATTTCCATGTAAGTTTTAGAATCATTTTGTCAATTCCATAAAAAACCTGTTGGGTTTTGAAATGAAATTGCATCAGATCTATAGTCCATCTTGCAGGGATTGACATGTGTATTCTAACTCATAAGCATAATATTTTCCTACTTTTATTTGGGGTTTAATTTCTCTCAACAATGTTTAATAGATTTCTGTATAGAAGTTTTGCACACCTTATATTGCATTTATTCTGCATATTTGATATTTTTGCTCTTAAATTGGTATTCTTAAAATTTTAAAACTTCTGGCTGCATGTAGATGTTCAGCTGATTTTTGTGCACTGTCTTTGAAAACTTAGTAACCTTACTATTTCTAGTAACTTATCTGTGAATTCTGTTGCATAATCTAAGTACAAAGTGTTATCTATGAATAAAAACTGTTGAATTTCTTCCTTTTCCAATCCTCATGATTTATTTTTCTTGTTTCTCTGTATTGACTAGGATCTCTACCACAATATTCAGTGGTGGTTTTAGACATATTTATCTATTTCTTAATCTGCAAGCAAAACCATTCAACATCTTACCATTAAATATGATGCTTATAAACTTGCTTTTAAATATTTTTTCAGTGCAAACTTTAAGACACGTTGACTATAGCTCTTTGGGAAACCCTGAGGCACAGTACCCAACAAGACATGCCTGAACCCCTGATCCACAGAAACTGTTGGAAAATGTCAAACTTGCGACTGTTACACAGCAACAAGCAGCCAATGCAGAAGGGATGTACAATCCTCCATCAAAGTCCAACCTAAGCTGTTTGTAGCTCAGTGTAACAGAATGAGAATGGGTTTTGAACCAATATACCAAGAATTCCATTCCTACTATGTATTAAGTAATTTAACATTACTCAGCCTCAGTTTTCTCACCTGTAAAATGGAGACAATTTTCCGTAGTCTAGTACCGAGTATGTATGTAAATGCACAGCTCCTGTCCTTCTCCCATCCCCACTTTTTTTTTTTTGAGACAGAGTCTCACTCTGTCACCCAGGCTGGAGTGCAGTGGTGCCATCTTGACTCACTGCAGCCTCCACCTCCTGGGTTCAAGCGATTGTCATGCCTCGGCCTCCTGAGTAGCTGGGACTATAGGCACGTGCCATCACACCCAGCTAACTTTTTGCATTTTTAGTAGAGATGGGGTTTTGCCATGTTGCCCAGGCTGATCTTTAACTCCTGAGCTCAGGCAATCCACCTGCCTTGGCCTCCCAAAGTGTTGGAATTATAGGCGTGAGCCACCATACCCGGTCCTTCCCTTCTCTTTAAAAGCCGTCTGTCCACCATGCCCTTTATGTATGCTGATCATACTTCCTAGGTAACAGCAGAATATATCATGGAGCAATGGGATAGAATGTTGGACATGGAAAATCTTGGGATTTAGGACATGTAGTTGTCAAACCATTGTACCACCTCCTTCATTGTTTTGACAGGAATTAAAACTGCCTATGCTAAATATCTGGATTCTTTCCCTCCTCCCTTGTTAGGCCATTGTTGTATGTTAAGAGTTAAACATTTCATGTCATGAGCAGTTGAGCCAGCCATGTGGGATCAATTTCACTGTGAACCCACAGGGCTCCAAGCCATGCCTTTTTTGTTGTTGCTATTAAAAGTGAATGCAAAGATATAATATCATCTCCCACTGCCTATGTCTGCTATGGATGTGAGCTGCAATTTGGCAGGAGGCCCCCAAGATGAGAAGGCAGCCTGGCAAGGCATGACTGTCAGAAGACGGGGCCGAAACTGCAATTCCTTGGCTATAGGTTCCTTGGCAAGTCATTCTCTGTTTTCTCACTTGTAAAATGGGATTAAGAATACCTGTCTGGCATCATTTTACATTATATTGAGTATTTGGGAAAGCACTTGGAAATTAGTAGGTATTCAATACATTTTAAAAAAACCCTTTTCATGTCAAGGTGTCGAGTTGGGGGGCTGGCTGGACACTGATGTTGCTTCCCACACAATATGTGGTCCACGCACCAGAGCACTGGCATTGTCTAGGAGTTTGTGAGAAACTGAGGATCCACCAGATCCCTGGAGATTCAAGTCTGAAGGGATCTGAAATTCTACAGTTCTGACAAGCTCCACAGAAGTGGCAAAAAGACCTGAGAAACCGAGAAGAGTTGGGATATGAATGGCATACTGGCCAAGATTAGTTTGCAAAAGTTTCAGGTTTTCTCTGGGTTTGCTGCATCCAGATAAAAATGACCTGCTCTTAGCATGAAATTAAACTCCTGTGAGGACTTGCTCTAGCACAGACAAGCCAAACCACTAATCTGAATAAATAAGCATCAATTTTATTGAATCATGAATAATTTAAGACTGGTACAATCATCAGCTTTATTCTCTATGACATGGGGCATGATGTCCGGCGGATCATTGGCAAATCCAAAAACCTCATGACAAATGAAAATTAAATAGGAAGGGAGAGAGCGAGAGAGGAGGGGAGGAAGGCGGGGAGGGAGGATGGAAACATACCGTACACAAAATACTCAGTTACTAGTTTTCTCTTTAAAAATGGCTAGAAAAAATTCATCAAAATGCAGCACTTTAATCAATTATTTACAATTTCTATGTTACAATGAAAAAATGTACATCTTATAGAACATATTTCATAAACTGCTCCACTGGAAACTAGATCAAAACAGCAAACCTTCCATTCAGTATCCACAAAGTTGGATTATCTTTCCTTTTTGAAGTAGATTCGCCACAATCAAATTTGAATACAGAGAATTTTGAAGTGTAAGCATCAAACAACAAAGTAAAAGTCCCCAAGATACAACGAAGGTCTAGGCAAGTCTTGTTCCTGTCCCACTCCCACCCCACCCCCAACGAATCTTAAAACGTATTCCCATCTCATGTATGGCCTGTATCATTCTTGGCAGTTTGGGAAGAGAGCGTTTGGCTTCCATTGGTAACTCAACATAAATGTTGCATAGAATTTATACATTTCAAAATTGGCCTAACTGTAGAAAAAGGCAAAATGGAAGCATTTCCGATAGAGCCCTAAATGAGTACAAAGTCACTTTATCCAAGGTGAGTGACACTAAAGTAAAAATATGACCAAAATAAGAAATGTGCATATTAGACAACCCTGCTTCCCGAAGCTTTAGGAAGGACACGGAGTTGTGAATCACACAAGGGCTATGCTACTTGAAGTCAATGTTCACCAATCAGGCAGCACCAGGTACAGAAATCTTGGATCTGAACCTGGACCCAGTGGGAGGGAAGTCTGTGGGACAGGGGAGAAAAGAATGAACGACAAGAGAGGATGTCATATTAAAAAGGTTTCAAACAATATTGGCAGGTGTCTACTCACAAGGTGATTGGAAAACTGCCCACAAGGAGACGTCAACTTGACCTCCTCCTAAATTCACAGTACGAGAATATAGCGTCATTGCTGGGAGATAAATGGTCTGAGGAGGGCCACCCTTCAGGGTTACCAGAAGTCTCAGGGTTTGGCCCCCTGGTCACAGGCTAAATATATGGTTTGAAAGTCTTATTAAGAACAAAAAGAGAACAAGACACACTCACACCCAGATGACTGATGAGGGCTAAGCAGAATAGCCTGAGTTTGCTGAGATTAAAGCAGGGATAGTGTTGAAAGGTTTTCCTTTCATCAGTTAGTGGGACACATTCCCCTTTTCTTTTCAAAGAGGAAGAACATAGTGTCACCCAATGTGAAGTGAGCAGTTTTGGGTCGAACTCTTATGGTAAGAAACTAAGAAAAGATGCCAAGAGACAAACCTTCAGAAATAGAAATGCAAAAGATGGAATAAAAACCCTGATCATTAAAACAGAGACACCCTTACTGGTGTCCAATAAAGATTCTCTTTATAAAACAGAAACAAACAACTCAAAAATTGTCCGTACTTCGTAATGAAAATACCACTATGTTGAAGACACAGCAGACTGGGTTTCTATTGGAGCAAGTATCAGCAAGGTCACGTAGACTTGTAGAAACTTTGCCTTCTCCTGCACGAGACAGATCACTGTCCAGTCAGGTTGTCAGCTGGAGACTTATAAGAACCAAAAAAAAAAAAGGATCTTTTTTTTTTTTTCTTTTTCCCATGGTCACGCATCCACACAAATGAGTCTTTTGGATGAGAAAAGTCACAGCAACTTGAGTTCTCCTAATGAATAGATGACTTTTTAGCCCTGTTTGCTTCAGTGGGAAAAACAACAACAACAAAAAAACAAACCCCAGGCAGGCACGACACTTATGTAAAATGAAACACAGTTAGTACAAAACCAGTAAGGCATCACTTTGGGAAGGTCAGCACCGAAGAGGTCAGGCAAGGCTCATCCAGACGGGGCTTCTGGGAGGGGTGACCCCTCTCACCCTTGTGGAGCTGCGTCATGTTGGTTCTGAGGAAAGTGCAAGTTTTTTGCGGGGTGACCTCATCACCCCACCGGAAGCTGGGGCGGGGACGCTTGAGGTGTAGGTGTGTGTTCTAAACCCTCAAGGACGAGAAGGGAAGACAAGGTCCATGGCTCACCCACATGTCGAGGACCGGGTCCTCATCCATTTTAAAGGGCACAGATGCCCCCAGCCCTAGCAGGAGGCGGCGAGGGTTTAGGACTGTGAGGATGGACAACTAAAAACCAAAACTGAGCAGGACCAAACCAAAACTCAGCTCCTGCGGTTCTTACTCTCACCAAAGGATTGATTCTGACCAAGAGGGGAAGGAGAAAAAAAATCTTCAAAAAAATCAATGCATCAGAAAGGGAGAAACTCAACCTCATTTTCAAAAGGTAATCAGTTCTCCAAAGTAGAACAAGTCTCACTATACACAGTGTTTGCAGAAAAAAAAAACCTGATTCATTCATATATCAGAAGGAAACAGACACATGCTGTTGTGTCGAACATCTACTCGCTCACATTCTTTCTCCTTCACTCACTCTCACAGATTAATCAGAGGCTGATGGACCTGAATGGGGGAGGTTGGACTGGAACAGGCAAAATACCTCTCGGGTAAGGAAAGCACCATTTAAAAAACATGAAAGCGCGGTTTATTTTCTCCTAAGGTTTCCCATGTTGGATCTCTGCAGTGCGTTGAACGCCATCAAAGCAAGCACCCTAGTTAGCACCAGTTCTCCCTGTGGCCGGCTGCGTGGGAGGGCGGGTGGCATGGCTCTGAGACCCTGTCTGGAGGGTCTGTGCTGAGGGGAGGCGGTGCTTCTCTGTGTTTCCAACTTTGCTCCAGTCTCTTCTGTCTCTGGGAAGCTCCGGGCAGGATGCTGTTTGGTTTCAGAGCTTCATGTAGGTTCTATTCTTTTTTTTTTCTCTCTTTTCATTTCAACGGCGACAATCCTTTCCCGAGAAGTATCTTCAGTGTCTTAGGGAGGTCACAGCAACAAGGCAAAACAATAATTAAAGTACAACAGAAGGTAGTGCAGTTCTCGCTGTGGAAGGAAGCGGTCCGCGGGCAGCTGACCTGGGATGCCTGCACCCAGGTCGAGGCTGAAGGACGACGGGTCTTGGTGTTCCCGCAGCTCTAAGGCTGCGGCTGGGGGCTGGCTCAGCAAGTCATTTTCAGGATGATGTGGGGGATGCAGGTGGAATGGGGCAAGGAGAAGAGGAGGGCGCTGGGCTCCACAGCCGGGCCCCTGTCACAGAGTGGACTCCAAAGAGGAGTCCAAGATGTCATCGTGATGGCTGTTGCTGTTGGAGTCGCTGTCATAGCTCTGGGGGCTGGAGTAGTTGGCTGCCTCCTGAAGCCTCATCAGCATGTTCATCTAGGGGAAGAATGGAGAAGCATGAGCTGCTTTCTGTCTAGTTGGGTGCCCACCCTGGCCTTCTAGAAGGTCGTGCCACCTCCTCCGGACTCACCTGAGATAGTATCTCACAGTGGAGATGACAGACAAGAACATGGACTTTGGGCCAGGCTTCCAGGGTTCAAATCCCACTTCACCAATTACTAGCTGCATGACTTTGGACACTTAACCTCTTTATACTTGTTTCTTTACTGGTCCAATGTGAATGATAATAGTACCTGCCCTATAATGTTACGGTGTTGATTGAATCAATCTATGTAGAGCACTGAAAACCAAATCTCTAGAAAAATTCTGTTTATTTTTTATTTAGGAGGGCACACCTTTCAGGCATAGTCCTCAGCCTGCATGAAGATGAGACTGAGCGTCTCTGCTCCTGGAACACAGGCGTCAGCATCACTGACATCTGAAGCACACAGACCCCATCCCACTTCGACAAGCATCAAACCCATCTCTTCACCTGGCTCTGGCCAGGTCAGACTGGAGCCAACTGTGCTCCAGCTCCTACAGAAGCCATGGCAGGCAGGTGAGGGGAAGCACCAGTTATAAGCAGAGCCTCTAACTGCAGGGAGTCCTGGCTTATGATTCAGGAATCTCTGGGCAAGTTACCTAAGGTATCTGAGCCACCAGTTTGTCATCTGTGGAATGGGGAGAATGGCAACACTTCTCATAGGGTTGAAGTAGGGAATAGAACAATACAGTGTGTATTAAACCCTTAGAAGAGGGGCTGGCCTGGCATATAGTAAGTGCTTAATAAATGTCATCTGTTGTCATCATCGTCTAACTTAAAGACAAGGGTTTAGGGACAGCGTTCTTGAATCTGCCCTTGTTTACATTCTATGAGTCATTTATTTGGGAGTGGGGAGAGGGAATAAAAACTAGTTTCATTTATAACTATAAATTGTGTGCATGTATTTTATATTTTATATAGCCAATAAGTCAGGAAGACGAGGCCTCTCTGAGCTAAGGTCAGGATGTGGTGCAGCTGGGCATGTATCCAGCTGCCCCTAGGGATGCTTTGCAGAGTCTACCCAGATGAGCCAGGTTGCGGAAGCACCATCATGTGATGTCCATCTGCACAGCCATAACCAGGGAAGAGGCAGAGCTGAAGCATAATGGACAATCCTCAGCAACTGAGGTTACTTATTCACTCATTAAACACTCCCAGTATGTCCACAGTATATGGTTCTGGAATAAAAACAAGTAAATCCTGTTCTCACAAAGGTCTCAGTTTCATAAGTGAGAAGGATTAACACTTAAGAGAGCTATCATAAAAGAGACACATGGCCCTGGGCAGAAAGAGCAGAACTGGGGAGAAATACCAGGTATCTTAACTTGGTAATAGAAGTGGCTGGACTGCACAGTTGCTCACTTCTGGGGGCCTGGAGTTGGAAGGAGAATTCTGTTTCCAGAATTCCAAGAATCTTGGGTCTTACTATGAACCTTCTGTGTCCAACAAATGCTACTGGCTCAGAAAAGATTGTTTAGGGATAGGCTTGCTATTCTTTCCTCTTGATACACGAAATTCTATTTTCTATGTAAGACCTCATGAGTTTGCCCCCGCAAAAAATACCTCCATGACCTTGGCTTTAGCAATGGTTACTGTTGCAAATGGCTGTTTAAAGAATGCTTCTTTCCTCTGTAAGACCACTGTTATAAATATTGCAAACTAGGTTGTGCATGGCAACACAAACAATAAATCCTCCAAAAATGCAGTTCCCACTACAATCTTCAACAGAACCACAGCTGCATTCCACCAAACAGCAGGATGGCAGGCAACCTGAATCACCTATTTTTTTTTTTTTCATCTAGGGAATTAATTAGCTGCTAGGAATAGAACAGCACATCAGTTGTCTTCTAATCCTGCTACATCTCTTATAAATATTTTCTTTCATTAGGTAATGCAAATAACATTCTCTGTCATGTTTTCTTTTTGCCATGCCTGCCAAAAAACCTTGGGGCTAAATTTAAGGCCTGATAATAGCCCTTTAACCATGGGAGGTTTTGGTATATTTGCTTCCTCTTTGTTTGATAGGACTTTTGATTTGTTAGGTCTAATTTAGCAGTATGACTCTGTATGGGTCTTACACTGGTAGAACACTACAATTAATAAGAAATGCTATTGTTATTGGCCTGGGTGTTTCTTTTGTTTGTTTGTTTGTTTGAGACAAGGTCTGGTTCTATCAACCAGGTTGGAGTGCAGTGGCACAATCTTGGCTCACTGTAAACTCTGCCTCCCGGCTCAAGCCGTCCTCCCACCTCAGCCTCCTGAGTAGCTGGGACTATAGGCGCATGACACCATGCCCAGTTAATGTTTGTATTTTTTTGTAGAGAAGAGGTTATGTTACTTTGCCCAGGCTGGTTTCAAATTTGTGAGCTCAAGCGATCCACCCACCTCGGCCACCAAAAGTGCTGGGACTACAGCCACAAGCCACCACACCCAGCACAGGTGCTTCTTAAAGGACCTTTACTGTTTTAGCAACAGCCAAATAAATAAGAAGCTTAAACAGTGTTAAGGACTTGGCCCATCTCAATGGCCATGGGACTCATATTCGGGCCCCCTCCCCTCTGTGAGTCCCTCCTGCCCTCAAACCTCTCCCTGCCTACCTTCCTGATCATTTGACTTAGGTTTCTGGTCCTTAGCAACCTCTTCCTCTGCTGTGTTATTGGTGGGAGGGATCGAAGTAATAGGATAGTAGGTAATAGGGGTGGCATCCCAAACTAGAGGGCAAAGAGTTGTGTAGAGACAGTAGGTATAAGAACATTTAAGGGAGGAAAAATCAATTCTTAACCTTTTATCTAGTATCAGAAAACATTTCTGAGAAAAAGTCTTTAGTGAAAAACCAAAACCATGGAAGAAAATATTGGCAAAAATGGCCCTAATCTTGGGGCCATATTCCAAATGGCCCAGTCATTTGGGTCCAGCCTTCCAAAGCAAGGCAGGGCCTAGTCACCTTTGTATTTCCAGAGGCTCTGCATGCTACCCAACACACAGTAAGCGCTCAATGAATGCTGAGCTGCTCTGGTGTCTGAGGACTCACCAGCGGGTCACCTTCAGCATCACTGGGGGGCACCTGCTTGCTTGTCGATCCCTCCCGAGGCATGGAGTAGCCGTCGAAGCCGACATCCTCAGGCCGTAACTGCAGCAGGGGAGGCCACTCATGCTGTTGTGGGCTGGCTGCCCATGGATATGTGTCCATCACCCACTTGGCAGGATCCTCCCAGGGGGCACGCCTTCCATAGAGCTGAAAACAGGCAAAGAAAGAACAGTCTGGAAGTGGCCAAGATCTCTTTTGCAGCCCCAGTTTTGCAGCTTTCTGAAAAACTCCCTAAACCCAGCATCATGCATTCCCCGATGGAGTAATTCCACTTCTAGAATTCCATCCTCAGGAAGTCATCCAACATGCAGACAGCTCGAGGTGCTAAGGCTGAAGGCAGCATGATCCAGTGGTCAAGAGTACAGGCTTTGGAGTCAGGCTGATCTGGGTTTATGCCTCAGTTCTGCCACTGACTCACTGTGCCACCCTAAACTCTGAGGCTTTGTAATCCAATTTGAAAAACTGGCTCTGGGGGAAAAAAAGCAATGACCTGATTTGAAGCATTTGCTGACTTCCCTGGTATACTCCCACCATGACTGATTTCAAACTACTGACATGCTGTCACTGGATGTGGAGTTAGAAAGAGGTGCTATCAGCTCTCAAGAGCCAGCTCTAGTCCTCCATTGGGCACACCTACCCAAAGAATACCTCCTACTTGGGTGCTTGGCACCAACACTGCAGGCAGAGGTCACAATGGCCCTGGCTCAATGTTTGTTCTTATTTTGTATGAAGACAAGATTTTGCTATGTTGCTCGGGCTGGATTACACTGGCATGATCACACTCACTGTGGTCTCAATCTCCTGGGCTCAAGTGATCCTCCTGCCTCAGCCTCCCAAGTAGCTGAGACTACTTGTGTGCCACCAGTCTGGCTAATTAAAAAAAAAAAAAAATTAAGAGATGGGATCTTCCTAGGTTGCCCAGGCTGGTCTCAAACTCCTGGGCCCAAACAATCCTCATGCCTAGGCCTCCCAAAGTTCTGGGATTATAGGTGTGAGCCACTGTGCTGGGCCAGTCCTGGCTCAGTAAAACCCCATTTCTTGAAATGGGTCTGATTCTCACAGCCCCTATCTAGAAGTGCTGTTCTTTTCAAAACAGCAAATTGCTAACAGAAGTTGCACATAGGTAGTGAAATTATGAGAGCTTCTCCCTTGTCATGTATTTCTCAAAATTCCATAATCACTAATTGGCTCTTAAAACAGTAAACTATGTTATCACTTAATTTTATACTAAGATCAACACCGTGCCTCCAAGCTCCTTTTCTTAAGCCTCAATTATCTAATGGCAAACTGATCTTATTGACAATTGCTAGCAATTTCAAGAAATACATACATTCTTATTTTTTTCTGAGATGGAGTTTTGCTCTCTCGCCAGGCTGGAGTGCAGTGGCGTGATCTCGGCTCACTGCAACTTCCACCTCCCAGGTTCAAGTGATTCTCCTGCCTCAGCCTCCGAGTAGCTGAGACTACAGGCGCATGCCACCATGCCCAGCTAATTTTTGTATTTTGAGTAGAGACAGGGTTTCACCATGTTAGCCAGGATGGTCTCGATCTTGACCTTGTGATCTGCCTGCCTCAGCCTCCCAAAGTGCTGGAATTACAGGTGTGAGCCACCTCGCCCAGCCAATACATACATTCTTTAAAGAACAGGAACCTAGGCTGGACCCCCTTCCCAAGGTGAGGCTTTGTATATTACACAGGTAGGTATAGGCTTTATGTCTTTCTCCTTTAACGCCACCACATCTTCCAGCTGACTGTGTGCCAGGTACCATGAGAAATGCTTCACAAATATCTTGCTTGACCACCATGCAACTCCAAGAGGAAGTACTACTACCCGTGATTTACAGATGAGGAGACAGGCCCAGGGAGGAGAGAAGCCAGATTGGAAACTAAGTGTGTCCGATTCTACAGCCCACTAGTTTGGCCCACTTGGTCCCTTGGGACACAGAGACTAAAGAGTCCTGTGGGCCACCACAGCTGTGCGTGTCTCTAGGGTGGCTACGGCTGTCTGTCTGTCTGCTCCCGCTGCCCTCCTGGGAATCCTGCAGTAGACAGGGTACAGAGAGCAAGGTGCTGACAGCAGTGCAGAGCTGAGCTCTCAACCAGCAAAACCATGTCTTTCCGAGGGGACGGAGGTGAGGCCACCTAGCCCCACCCCCTCATTTACTAGATGGGGCAATCAAGGCCTAAAGAGCAGGGCCAGTTGATAAGGTTATCAGGTAGAGCCTATTTTGAACCTAGAACCTCAGCTTCCTTTGCCAGGCCTTTTTGCTCTCCACCCCTCCTGACTGACACCACCTTGAACAACTCTATCAGTTAGAGCCACATGACTCAGCCAGACCCAGAGAAGGCAGACGCGGAGCAGGCTGTTGGCCAGGTATCAGCGTGTCAGCCTGCTGGGCTCATTGTCCCCTCCAGAGGTGCCCATGCTCCCATGACAGTCTGTGCCACCTGGGACCTCTTGGTATGATTTCCGTCAGAGAAGCTGCCCACCCTGCCCCTTCTCAGATGGGCCCATCTCTCTGCATTTGTGGCTATCAGCCCCTCTGCTTAACACATGCAGCCTCCTATGACTCACTGACTTCCCAGACACCAGTACTCCTCCCGTCTCACGCTCTGGCCCAGTCTGGTGCTAAGTCTTCCTCAACCGGGGGCAGGAGTGAGTCTCAGGCCTAGGAGCTCAGTCTGGCATTTGAAAGGCAACTATAATGTGAGCAGGAAGGAATCATGTGAGAGGCACGTGTTTGTGTGTACGTGGGTATGTGTTTCAGAGCAGAAGAGAGTACAAAATTGGGATGTTTGAAGCGAAAGAAGGCTGCTCCAGATTAGAAACATTTGTGCAGTTTTTAGAAGTTTCTCCTGAGGTCTTTCCCTGTGGAACTGGGCTGCATTTCCCAAGCCAGACTTCACATGAGGCAGAACCAAACCCTCATGGCTACTGTTTCTGTGACAGCTACTGCTTCTGTCTCCACCCTATAGCCTGGATGAGGAAATGCTCAGGGCTGCAGAATCACAGAGGCTAGAACTCTTGGAGCTGAACACGTCCTCAGAGATTATCTGGCACCATGCTTTTCAGACATTTGCTCTTCATTTCTGCCCTCAACTGAGTAGACGGGGGAACATTTGGGCTTCATAGAAACAAGCCTGAATAAACGCTCTTCTTGTCCAAACTTGTCAATTTATAGATGGGGAACCCAAGGCCAAGAGACAGGAGGCCTGTCCAGAGTCTCGGAGCAGGCTGGCTAATCTGATAAATGACCCCACACTCATCCCCCACTGTTCCCGTTCCCTGCAGGCACCAGGCCTGCCATGGGCACAGAGAGAGGTCTTCTGAGTTACCCTGTAGGCTTTAGACACTTTGGTAAGTGTTTCCAATGACAGCTCTGAAGGGGAGCAGGACTGAGGACTGAGTCATAAGACAAACGCATATTAGATAGATGCTAACATCATCTGTAAGAACAGAAAATATTTTTACAAGCCTCCTCAACTGTCACTGAACATGTTCCAAGTCTGAGTGATGAGTGGCTGGGTAAGTACCGTGGCAAGCAAAGGAAGCATCATAAAGCTCCTCAGCTCCACCGCAGGCCCCGAGGGCAGCAGCAGAGACAGCTAGAGAGACAGACACGGAGGGAAGAACATTGACTTTCCCCAAGGCAGGGGTAAGAACCTGATATCCCCACTGGGTCAGGAAAAATGGGAACAGAACAACAGGGAGCTGAGACATTGAAAACTACAACATGGACCACTGTGAGCCTTCTGACTGTGGGATGCAGGGGGCTCTGGGAGCGTGTGCACGTCACAGAAGGATGCATCGGCTACACATTCAGGAAGCTCCTCCAAGAGGTTCCACGTGTGCATCTGCACGTACACACACTTGCAATGCAGCCTTTCGTTCACTAGAGGGCGACATCATGTTTCCTTCTGGCATGGGTGTGCCTGCGGGAGGGGCTGCCTGGAAGCCATCCTCATCCCAATGACAGCAGGTCTCCTTATGTTCCCATCAAATCCGTGCTACCATAAGCAGCCCTCCTTCCCGCTCCTGGTACACAGCAGTCCCATCAGAACTCATTCTAGGGACTTCACCTCTTAGCCTAGAACCTGGGCCAAAGGATGACTCACTCTGAACTGCCATGTGCTCACTTCACAGCCACTTACCCAGGTTAGGTGAGGAGCAGGTGACCCTAGGGTAGGCATGGACTTAAAGTAACATGAAAAAGAGGAGGGAATTTTAATATTTTTTTAAAATAAAGGAATCATTTTGCCACATGAAATCATAGAGAGAACTCCACTCTATAAAATTCAGTATTTGGTTCCCCGAGCCACCTGAGGTTTCTCAGTGGAGTGATGGGGGTCCCTAGGACAGTCTGAAAATAATAGAAGTAGCCGAGGGGCCAGCTAATCCTGGGCGCCAATACTCACTCCACCATACCATGCTGAGTGGACTTGGAAAGGGGCAAGAATGTCTGTGAGCCTCAGTTTCCTCATCTGTGAGAGACTCACTGGGCTGTTGGAACTAAATGAAATCATGCATGTGGGGCCCCTATTGGTGACTGGCAAGTAGCAGGCCTTCAAAAAACATCAGCAAACGTTCCTCCAAAACGGGAGGTGTGAAGAACACAGTAAGCTTCCCCGGGAATCTGTAGTGTATATGGTCTCCTGGGGTCATCACGATGGTGAGGTCACAGGTTTGGGGCACAGTAACTCACTTTTGAACCACTTAGCAGGATGCAAACTCCGGCTGCCTCCCTTTGCTGCTCTGCACTCTTAAAAGTCTGACCTTCAAATGACCTTGAAGCACAAAGCAGTGACGACATTTCCTGCCTCACACTGAACTGGTGAGTCTTGAGATTGAAGCATGTCTTTACTCCCTGCCCAGACGGCTGGGGCCTCACTTCCTCATGGTGGGAAGAATACCCAATGCTCCTCTACGATCAACTCTATCAGCAACCTCTCCTAGGTGGGAAGGGAAGTTCCTTCCCAGCCATGCCCAGATAGCTTTCTTTTAGGTTTAGGTCCAAAGGAGCAGGGCCCTGGCACTGCCAACCACTGGTAACCAATGAGGGTTTTTCTCAAGTGCAGCTCAAGGCTGGAGCACAGACAGGCTCCCACTTCCCCGTTAATGCCTCCCAGGGTAGGGGAGGCCTTTATTCAGCAGAGCCCAGGAGTTCTTCCCAGTGACTCTGAGGTTCACTCCCCTTCCTATACCAGAAGACCACACTTGGAGTAACTAGAAAGCAAATGGCAGAAGGAGAGGTGGAATGGGGGAAACCGTCCACCTCCTCTGCCTGCAATTTTCTTTGCTCTTCTAAAAGCAGTTCTTATGCCTCAGCCTCCCAAGTAGCTGGAATTACAGACATACACTACCACACCTGCTTTTTTTTAAATTTTAGTAGAGATGGGGTTTTACCATGTTGGCCAGGCTGGTCTGGGTTTCCCAGAGGTGCTGGGCATATCATACTCTCTGGAAGCCACCAATGAGAACAGAGGAGAGAGGCTTCTGAAACAAGAGAGACTGCAAGAATCCAGCAGGTAGGAGATGCTTCTACTGGCCCCAGTATAGGGATGACTGGGTGGCTGTTTGTATCTGCGGTACTAACAAACCCATTTGATTAAGGACTAAATTATGGTCAATTTGCCCAGGCCAGTAACTTCACCTACCTAAGGAGATTCCACTGCAAAGATCTAAAATCATTCATACCTTCTTGCATGAAAGCAACAGTTGACAGAGCACTGCTAACTAATGATTTTTGGCTGGCCAAAGATTGCCTAATTTCTTGCTCTTTTCTGGTTTCACAATACACTTGTATTTCAATATGCTGCCTTGAATTTGTGACACATATGCTCCAGTTTAATGAAATGCATCACAAGAGGCAAAATATTTTCAAGTTCCCTTTGTCCTGAATGCCTCTGAAGACCATCACTGCTGCTATAAATAATAGATAGAAAATACCAGAATATTACCCAGTTCAGCCCAATACACAGAAACGACAAACATTGACTGTATCCATTAACTTGCACTGTCACACACGTGTCTGCGGGTGCACACCGGTCCCTGCACCCTCCATAGGCCTACGATAGCATCTTGCGTCTCCCACTGTCCAGTGCCAAGGAAACAAAGCAGCTCTTGGAAACCTGGCTACCAAACTGGTTTCTGGGTTATTCAGCCACACATGATGTCTGCTAATTATTCACTGTGAGTGTTAAAAGCCTACAGAACTTCTTAGGCTGCCTCCAGGCTCAACAATAAAACTATCCCAAGTTCTAAATTAATGGCAAGCTTCTAAACCCTGGGTTAAGTGAGAAGTAAAGAATGTGTGCTTTCTGGGCAGGGCATAGTGGTTCATGCCTATAATCCCAGTACTTTGGGAGGCTGAGGTGGGTGGATAGCTTGAGGCCAGGAATTCAAGACCAGCCTGGCCAACATGGTAAAACCCCATCTCTACTAAAATTTTAAAAAAAGCAGGTGTGGTAGTGTATGTCTGTAATTCCAGCTACTTGGGAGGCTGAGGCATAAGAACTGCTTGAACCCAGGAGGTGGAGGTTGCAGTGAGCCAAGATTGCACCACTGCACTCCAGTCTGGGTGATAGAACAAGACTCTGTCGGGAAAAAAAAAAAAAGAATTAGTGCCTTCCAACTGCTGCCAGGCAGGAGGAACTGGCATGGCAGCCTTATGGGCCCCAAAGTTACCTAAGAGGGTAGGGGTCCTGATGTCAGGGAGAGAGTGCCACCAGCTTCAGGGCTAAGAACCTGGAATTCGATCCAGAAGGCATGGGTTCGAATCCCAGATCTTTCAAGTTTCCCTTTTATAACCTACAGCACATCATTTATTCTCTTTGACCCTCAATTTTTCTCTTAAAAATGGAGTAGAAAACCAAAGTTCTGTCCAAGTTCCAGGACTAATCCAAGGCTTAAACCAAAAGGCAGATAGGAGAATACTTTGCAAACTGCGAAGTGCTACACATGTGTGGTTCTACTTCTCATGCACTCACCATGCTAAACACTTTATAGCCATAATTTCATTTAATCCTTGCAAAAAACTCTTTGTGGCAAGATATCAATGATGACTCTGAGGCACAGAGAGGCTAGACAGCTCGCCTGGGGTCACAGCACTAATGGGTGGCAGAGCCAGGACTTGCAGCCAGGTGTTCCTATGCTGCGCTACAGTGACAATCTCCCAGGTGAGGGGTTGTCATCCCATGTTGGTCAGATTCCTGGAGGAGGAGATAAAGACAACTCATCTAGTCACCAGAACAGCGCCCCCTCAACTGCGCGGAGGCCAGCAGGTGGTGTCTTCTCACCTGGAGTCCTTCTCTGACGGCTTCCAGGAGATAGGGGATGATGGAGTAGTTCCACAAGTCGGTGAACCACACTCTCGAGCCGTCCACATCGATGGGGCATGACAGGAAGAGCCGGGGGCCTGGAGACCACAGCGAGAATACATTAGCACTGAAAGAGGCGTGGGTAATGGGGCATCAGGGGAAGCCATAGTCTGAATACCCCTTACAGGAGGGACCCTGGGCAGTCTGAGTGATGGCAAGACTGAGGCCTGAATGCAGATATACCAGCCCTAGATGGTGGGCACAGAGAAGAATCCTCTGATCCCTGATTCCACCTTGGGGTCTCCCTCCTCCAAGAAAGGCTTTATGGGGAAGACGTGCACTATGGCATTAATAATCTTGATTTTTAAAAACGGAAGCAAATGACTACATGTCCAAAAGAACAGAAACAATTGAGCAAATGAGGGTACATCTGCATTTGATCATTTTGTAGCCTTTAAAAATAATTTTTAAAATGGAATAATTGACCGGGCACGGTAGCTCATGCCTGTAATCCCAGCACTTTGAGAGGCTGAGGCAGGTGGATCATCTGAGGTCAAGAGTTTGAGACCAGCCTGGCCAACATGGTGAAACCCCTTATCTACTAAAATATACAAAAAAAATTAGCCAGTATGGCTGTGGGTGCCTGTAATCCTAGCTACTCGGGAGGCTGAGGCAGGAGAATCGCTTGAACCTGGGAGGTGGAGGTGAGCTGAGATTTTGCCACTGCACTCCAGCCTGGGCAACAAGAGTGAAACACTGTCTCAAAAAACAAACAAAAAACATTTAGCATTATGAGATACCGCTAAATGAAAAAAAAAAAATTTTTTTTTGAGACGGGGTCTCGCTCTATTGCCCAGGCTAGAGTACAGTGGTGCAATCTTGGCTCACTGTAGCCTCCGTCTCCCAGGTTCTAGTGATTCTCCTGCCTCAGTCTCCTGAGTAGCGGGGAGTAGAGGCACATGCCACCACACTTGGCTAATTATTTGTATTTTTAATAGTGACAGGGTTTCACCACGTTGGCCAGGTTGGTCTCAAACTCTTGACCTCAGGTAATCCACCTGCCTCGGCCTCCTAAAGTGCTGAGATTACAGGCATGAGCCACCACGCCCATCCAAAAGGAACACGTTCTATGTATGCTATGATTGACACCACTACATAAAACATATATGTATGAACAAGGACAGAAGAAATAACTCAAATTAAAATTATGTCAAGATGGTG